GGGGGGTTCAAGCGGCGGCGGCAGCGGCAGCGGCAAGAAGAGGCGATCGAGCATTAACAAGCCCAACGATCTGTTTGGTGAGGGTGTGTCGACTGATTGCATTTGGCATTTGTAATATCGCGGGAGTGCTGGTGGGTTGGGTTAGTTTTGGTGTATGCAGTGGACGGCGATGTGGGAGACGGTGGGATTGGTAGCAGAAGAGAGGACGGCAGTATCTACAAAGAAGGCCGAGCAACTGCAAGCCCGAACATCCGTTAGTTGTTGGGGTTGTGTTTGTGCCATGGTGAGGTTGCTGTGCCCTTGTTGTTTCTGTTGCTGGTGTGTTCATTGTGTTCCTTGTCGCTGTGTTGATGTTATTTTCAGACCAAAACCTTGGTCGTTACGGGAGCATGATAATCATTCGCGACAGCAGCAGCACCAGCGTTGCATTCACCACCCATGCCTACTGCTTGGGATGTGACATGCATCCTAGGAGTGGTACGCGGCAACGTAAAAATGAATCCGCATGTTTTCCCGACGTGTCCCATCATGTCTGTCCACATTCTCACGTGGGTGGCATTCGTCTTCACGAAACCCCTTCGCTTGCACAAAAAAAAAAAAAAAACTGCGCCAAGACGACCGGTTGTTCGACGTGAGCTTCGTGTCGAGGTGCTTTCAGAAGGGAGCGCTGAGGCGGGTGCAGGGCGCGGTGATCGGAGGGGACAGGTTGATCGGAGTCTGCCGCATCTCGTCGAGCGAGCTGAGGAGGCTCGGGTCCTCGACAGTGCCGGCGGACCTGAAGCTGAGGGACCCCAGGTAGGTCGGTCACGCTGCTGCTGTTGCTGCTGCTGATACCGCTTTTCAATGGTGAGATGTTGTGAGATTCTTGTGTTTGTTATCATTGCTGCTGCTGCTGCTGCTGCTGCTGCTGCTGCTGCTGCTGCTGTTCGATAGTGTTGGGTGTTGCTTGTGGTTATGGCTGTGACGGCCGCCGCCGCTGCTGCTGCTGCTGCTTCAGTGTTTAGGTGTTGCATATTGTTGTGGTAGATGTCGCTGCTGCTACTCTTTTGGTTTGGTGATGCTCGAGAGTTGTGGCCGTGGGGTAGTAATTGTTGTTTGTGTCTCCCTCTTTCTTTCTCTCACTCTCGCTCGTTCATATCAGGGGCTGGCTCGTGGCGGCAGCTTCTCTGCGTACCCACCCACCTACCCACTTTTTGTTTCATCCCGACCCCCCCCCCCCCCCCCCCCCCCCCCCCCCCCCCCCCCCCCCCCCCCCCCCC